TCGCAAAAGTTTGTGTGAAATATGTTAAAATTTGCAGGAAACTGTGAAAAGTTCCATGACTTTACAAGAAATCCTAAACCGATTTTGATAATCCATATACTGTTTGAAAATTTTCAATTGAAAAAAGTGCCAGCATTTTTAGGGAAAAATCAGCAGAGCCTTTTCTTCGTAATTGTTAAAATATTTATAGAGTACATTATTGAATCATTTTCATTATTGATATTATTTTTATCCATGATTTCTTAATTTTTGCTTTGATTTATGTATTTTTCGAAAGAAGAATTCCTTCCTTACTTCCTATACTATCATTAATTTGAACGATTCAAATTTTATGTCGAATCAAACAACCTAGAATTACTAAAACAAATAATTTACATTTGAACATCGTAAGCTAAAAATTATTATTCGTAAAATATTTTTCAAAGCTATCACAATTAATTTGACTTCTACGTACACACACACACACACACACACACACACACATATATATATATTAACTATATATACAGTGCTGGATTTACAGTAGGGGCAGTCGGGGCTACTGCCCAGGGCGGCAAATTTTCGGGGGCGGCAAAATTTGGATAGTGAAAAAATAATTATATACAATATAATTAACTCATTTTCTTAATAACATTTCTTATTCAAGAAATATAATTAACAAAACATAATACGTTTGCAATGCAAAATTTGGCAATTGTGCTAATAAAAAATTCGTAAACGAGCTGAAAGTTGAAGAAAATTATGTTCTTCAGATCTCGAGCACTCTTAAGATTACAAATTTGTGTACTTCTAAGCTTATAGCGCCCTAAAAAAATTAAACTAGTGACGCATGGCATTGCGCCTTAAGGCAAGTTACCGAAACTTTCCGAAAAATTACATTTTATAAAGAGCTTTAAATTTTTTTGAAAAATGAAAAAAATTGAATTTAAAAAACCTTTTGTTATGTTACGCGCTTCTATATTTTGACTCTACGCAGCCAAAGCAGCGCGAACACTAAAAATATGAAAAAACATTAAATTTTTCAAAAAAGTTAAATTTTTTCAAAGTTTTAAATATTTTAACTTTTTTTTTGTCTTTATTAAGGCGCGATGCCAAGCACCACTATTTATAGTATGTAATGCGTAATGAATTTAAAATGAATTTTTATATAAAAACTATTTAAGTAAAAATCCTGGGATGGGGCGGCATTTTTATCAGTGCCCCAGGGCGCCAAATTTCTAAATCCGGCCCTGTATATATATATATATATATATATATATATATATATATATATAAACGTGCAGAATTTTCATACAAAAAATCTTATTATTGTGGTCATTAACAAATTATGAGCAATTTGATCAAGTAAAACGCGTTATAAAATAACAGGAAACAAAAAAAACTTATTTTTGCTAATGAATCTGTTTTTCTAAGTGTTTCAATAAAATTATATAAAACCAATAATAAAAACGTGCTTAATGCGTATATGTATAATTTTGGGAACCCCAAACATTGATTTATGAGTAGTTTGATCATATTCAGACAAAGTGCGTTTGCTTTGTTTTAAGACATTTTGCGATTAATTTTATTGAGTAATTATATTTAATGACTAATAATTGCTATTGTATCATGTTATTTAAAGCGTCATTAAAATTCTGATAAGCACATCTTTTGCTCGAAAATAGGAAAAATCTCCCGATATTTTGATACTATTTATATTATTAAATATTTTCCATATGTATTATTATAAATAATTCATCCTTAAGATATTGATTTTTAAAACTTTATAAAAAAAATACAAAATTTGAAAATTGTATGCATTTATACATTTAAGTATTAGTTTCTTTTAAGAACTTTAAAGTATAATTTTTGAAGTTATTTCTTGATGCTTTTGTTTTGAATAATTGAATAAATAAGTTAATTAACCTGTGCCGAAAGAATATATATTTTGCATTGAATCATGCATTAGTTATGGAAGTCAAAATTTTCCAAAATGAATTTACCTTTTATATAAATACTTAAGCAACATATAAAAAAGACAGACGATGATCAAAAAGGGGGCGTCCATTAATCACGAAGCATTTTTCTGAGGTATGTCAAAATGTTCAGAAATCTCTGAAACGTGAATGCAAAAAAAAAATCATTTCAAACGATTTATTTTTATTGGGGTATCTGCCTGATAAAAATACTATTCAAACTAAAAGTGTACCATCTCGAACATATTAAACTGAATTCTACTTACTTCATCCAATGATTCATATCCTAGACATTCATTCACACCAAGAATTTACTACATTCAAATCGAGAAGAAATACTAAACATTTATGATATTTACACTATTAGCACCAATTGTTTGTAATTTATGCAAAATTATTACTATAAAAACTGCAAATTCAAAACTTGTTTCTCTACAAAAGTCTTTTCCGTGATGATTCCACATTACTAAAATAGATATGATAGAATTATCTAAGGAATATCTTAATTACGTACGAAGTCCAATAATATTGGTAAAAAAATTAAATGGGTAATTACCACTTTTAATTATAATACAGGTATTTTTCGATAAAAATCAAATTTCGCTTGTCACAATGATGTGCAAGATTTACGACTTATACAATTTTGATATGAGTAACCGATTTTCTCTAGAATCCGGTAAGAAAAAAGATAAAGAAAATTACTCTATCATTTTTTGTTCTCTGTGAAAATAGCAGCATTGTCCGATTCAAAAATCTTGTTTTAATTTCTGTTGATATTATTATAGAAAAAGAATATCAAGAGTTTTAAATAATTTGTTTGTTTTATCCAAAGTAAGAGTCAAACTGGGACACGAAACGTATGGAATATTTATTTACAAAAATTTGTATTTATCAGTAAAACAATCAAACTGAGACCCGAAATGTATGGAAGATATATTCAATTTATTTGAAAAAAGAACTTTTCAAATAGTTTTTCTTTTTAACAACTTTTGGTTGCGTGAATTAAAAGTATAATTATATATTTTCACAAAATACTATGTACCGTGTATAAGTATATATATATATATATATATATATATATATATATGTGTATGTATATATAATTATCGTGATGCCTTCGATAAATTATCATTACATAAAAAATGCTGCAATGGGGAAATCACCGTAATAAAAACCATTACACTCATTATAACACTTTAACAAAGTTAAATGTATCACTAATATCAGGTAATTAATATTTTACGTAAATAAACATACATATCATGGAATTAATTATTAATAATTAAATAATTAATTACCATAGTTCTTTATTTATGTGTTCTATGGCAGTGACGTATTTATGAACGAATAGAAACAAAATAAATATTTAGTTGCATGCAAAATATATATATTTAGTAAATAATTCAGAAATAAAAAAGAAATAGGTGTAAGTGGCATTTTCCTTGTGACAAAATGCATGAACTTTCCGATATGTATTTATCTTAATCAAAAAGAAATAAACACATTAATTTATAAGTGATTTATAAGTACATCAAGCATAATAATGTGAGAAACTATATTGAAGTTTAATCAATTTGTAATTTTTTTCCAAAAATGGTGGTAATTTTCGATTAATGATTTGAATATTGAACATTATTGAAAAATAAATACGCGTCTAAAACATACACCGACAATTTTCTAAAAACGTGCCCGATTAATCCAAACTTTAATTTAATTAATTCTAATAATTAAACCATTTATTTTAGGCCTCTAATATTTTAGTATGTACATGAAGACTTGGAACTCCACATAAAAAGTGTGATTCAAGTCGCAACGTAAAATTTCAACAATCAATTTTTTTAATTCATTAATTTTAATTTAATTTGATTTCAATACCCTAACTTTCAACTTACAGATTATGGCGTTATATAATCTGATTGTTGAAACTATAGTTCTATAGAGATAATTACGTATATTTGCTAAACACACATATTTTCAAGCTAAAAAAAATATCAAAAACAATCATATTTGCCTTTATAGGAAGATGTTAGTTTTGTTCAACCTTGATATGAGTTTTCACTTTATTTAGGAATTGACTTAAATCCTTGATTGTTTTATTATTAATGAGCTAGTTTTATTACTCTAGGAAGTGAAATTAGGATTTTGACTAATATTAATAGTGATCAGAAAGGATAATTCAAGTTCAAGTGCATATAAGAGTTCTTTGGCCTCCAATTTACTTGAATTTTACGCCTGATATGAAAGCGAAACTATAAACTTTAAATATATGCAAGAAATTAATTTAACAATTTATTCAGTCATCGTACACGTTAACCTACCTACGTATTTATTAAAGTATCAAAATATTTTAAAGTACTAGTATCATAAGAATTCGTTAATATTTTTAATGTTTTTATTATAGATCAAAGTTTCTAAAAAAAATACTCATCTAAATGCAACATAGTATAGGCACTACATGAATAAAGTACAAAAAATGAGTATGTATAAATAAAAATATAAATATTAATGAGCTATTGTTTCAATAGTATCAAATTTGCTCATTATTCTCAATACAGCAGGTTAAATAAGATGAAAACAATCAAAGATTTGAATGAATTTATAGATATAATACAAAAGAATACCCAAACTAATTTCTATCTAAATCGGCAAAAATTATTGTAAATGTTATGGCTTTTATTTCAATAAATATATATATTTACACACACACACACACACACATATATATATATATATATATATATATTATTTATTTATTTATATATATATGTCTCAGCGTCGAACAAAAAAATCTATTATATATATGTACATATATATATATATATATATATATATATATATATATATATATAACAATTGTTATATATATTATACAAATATTACATCATTTATAATTTGATTATGAATTAAAAAATAATTCAATTCGAATATTTACTCAAAATGTAGACTTTGACAAACAGATTTTTTTTGCAAAAGCAAAATTGTTCGATTATCAATTATACAACCTATATCTTTTATCTAATTAGGTATCAATTATCATTTCCGCAGATATTTGTGAATTAGATATAGTATCCAGAAAAGAATGGGGCGCGAGGGAACCAACCCAAGTAGAACCTATCAAAGAGCAACTTTCTCATGTTATAATTCACCATTCATATATTCCTGGAGCATGTGGTGGGGCTGGTCAACCGGCTTGCGATGGTGCTATGAGGGCAATGCAGGACTATCATCAATTGGAACATGGGTGGAATGATATTGGTTACAGGTAAAATCAAATTGAAGAGTTGTTATGATGAAGTCTAATGCAACTTTATTAAATGTGCATTGTTGAAGAATATATGATTCTCATTATTTGGTGTATGGAATATAATTTCCAACTTTTGTGAAAGCAATAAAACCAAATGTTGATATAAGAGTTATAAAATAATAATACAAAATCACAATTTAAACAAAGAATTCAACATTATTCTTTCTTTTCAAATACAAATAAAAAAAAAATAGGAGTCATTTCTTATAAATAAATCTATATTACTCCCTGTAAATTTTATTGATATGTAAATTTTATTGATATTAAAAAGCTACTAAAATTTAGTTTTGCTGTTGGTGGAGATGGAAAAATATATGAAGGCCGAGGATGGAAAGTTGTGGGTGCTCACGCTCCAGGATACAATTTCAATAGTGTTGGAATTTGCTTAATTGGTGATTGGCGAAGTGCGTATCAAATGTATTTTTATACACATGTATTACTTAAAATGATAATATTATTTTTTAGCTGAACTGCCTCCTGAAAAAATGCTGAAAGCCACTAAGAGTCTAATAGAATGTGGAGTAAGAGAAGGACATCTTAGAAAAAATTACACGTTACTAGGCCATTTACAGGTATTAGAACTACAATTGTAATAACGCAATTATTAAGTTTTGTTTATTATGAACCACTTATGAATATAACCTGTCTACATAATTAGTTAAACAATGATTTATTTCTATCAGGTGAGAAAAACCGAATGCCCAGGGCAAAGATTATATGAAGAAATAAAAAGTTGGCCAAATTTTGAAGAAACTGAAAAGGAAAAATATAAGAAGAGGGCAGAAACCCAATAGCTACTTTAGTAATTAACTGCCTCAAAAGTATTATAATCTGTATACTGACACAGCATTTATTAGGCAACTTGTTATACAATGTGATATCGTACAAAATAATTATATAATAATATAATAATTATATAATTATATTATAACTTAGTGTAATAAAAAATAAGTCTTACCTTATAAATAAAAATTAAGTATTTACAGGCAAGTTTGTTTCCATATTTAACCTTAAAACATCTACAGAAACACTTTCTAAATATACTTCATACTCCCATGCTGCAGCATACATTGTTAACTTACTCAAATTTTTTGCATGTGCTATATTTTCTGAAAAAAAATTCATAGAAACATGTACATACATACATATGACAATAATCATGCTTTTTATATCACATATTGTAATTTGTATCAACCAGTTATAAGAAGTAAGAGTGCATAATCTTACCATAAACTAATTTTTTTGTTGCTAATTCCTTCTCATATCCTTGCACAATGTTCGACACTAATTTTTCCACTTGCAAAGCTGTACTCGTAACAAATAACAATTCTTGCGGATCACATAATTTAGTTAATGCTTCAAACTTTTTAATTATCATATTCATTGAACAAACAATATTTTCATAGCCAGCTATTACTTCCTCGCCATTTGAAAATATTGATTCTAGTTCATCAATGCAACTAGTTTCAGTGTCTAAACTTTTTGATTTGATTTGAAAAATAGATTTTATCAATACCAGGGATTTGGTATTCAATTGCTTCCAATCATGGAACAATTTATTTAACTGCACAACATTATCTTTGGCTGTTCTTAAATGGCAGGATGAAATAGGACTCGATGGTGATTTAATATCCAGTTTTTGTACAACTGACACTGGGCCTAAAATCAGATCAATATATATATATATATATATATATATATATATATATATATAACCACATATATTTAATTGAATTGAATTTTGGTCTTTTTATTGATTCATATTTATTTTCTGAAGATTCAATTCACAACCATAAAGAAAAAAGGATATTATTACAGTTATTATTTATTAATTTCATAAATTCAATAAATGAATTAAATAATTTCAGTATAAATATTTATATATTTAAAGATTGATGTATTCGTGAATATCTTCGAATCAAAGTGGTTTTAATTAATACCTATATACACATTTAGATATTCACATACACTATATATTTATTTATACAACAGTAAAACATTTAAATTTATTTAATAAAGTCATAGAGAATAATGTGATCTGCTCTTCTATTGGCACTTTTGAATGAATTGAAAAAAATGATACAATCTTCGGCAAGATTTTAGATATATAAGACTCTCAATATATTAAGTTTAAAATCAATGAAATGTGAGTGTTTATTTGATAAAATAGTTACTCAATTTGTGTCGTCTCATTTCCATGTGTATGTATTGCAAAATTTGACCGATATGTTGATTATCACACATTTGTTTTCTAATAGAATATGCAATGCTAATGTTAAGCTTAGGAGAGTCAGTGAATTCAGCTTTGGGAAGAATTTCATTTAATAAATATAAAGATGTGTCCGATAAAAATAAATTTTTTGCTTTGATAATTCAGAAAAATAATAAATGTATGGCACACTGTTAATAACTGCTTTAATGTTGTTGTAATAAGAAGTCGATGATATAGTAAAATGGTAATTAATTGACTATAGAAAAGAACGTCTTTGTTTGGTAATGGAATCAACAGGTTGAAAAAAGATTATTTGTTTGTTATGATTTTTTTGAAGGACCAATGTTTGTGCGTTTGATTTTTTGAAGGATCGTTAAAATCCTTCAATTGGAAGATTAATTAAGATTAATTTTTATTATAATTACAAGTTTTATTTGTAATGTGTATTTTATTGATATAGTTGTTCACCCTGTCATTTTATGAAATGCTTTGATTTGATTTGATTTGTCGAGAAGTTTTTGTTACTAATGTTATGTTCTCACTATGGAAAGAAAAATGAGACAACAATGAATGATAGAATGGTTGTTTTCAAAGAAATAATTGCGTTGTTTTGAATATTCAGAAAATGAATATATATATATATATATATATATATATATATATATATAGAAAACTTAACAAATTTATGTAAATGCACTTACTTAAAACGCCATCTTTTTTCGGTGATTTAACAGGCGTCCTATCCATCTTAATTTATCTAATTTTCGCGAATGCACATATATTATTAGAATAACTAGGATTAATTAGCTTTAATGAAAAACATTAATAATATCTCTTAATTAATCACTAACCTAAAAACACACATGTCTATAATTTTCTGCGCAAGTCTTGTACAAGGACTGTCAAACGCCAAAATAATTTAGTGTAGTTAGTAAAACATCCGCTAGGTGTACGGAGTGAAGTTGGTGTTAACCGAAATTAATTTGAAAAAAAAAAAATGCGTGTGCACCCTGCGAAAATTTTATTCAAGTTTAATGGCTTGGGGTGAGTGTAAAAGTGTAATTTTGCTATGAAGTATTAAGTTTTTATCATATTTTACTAAATTAATAAAGTTTGCATTATGAAAACTACCAAATTTAACAATTTTCGGATGTGTGCATACATGACAAAGTGGTTTTGGTAAAATATTCTTTATATATACATGAGTTCATTTGTACACCCACAAACGTCCAGGAAACGGTAAGATATTTGCAAAATATCCTTATATACATTTATAAATTCATTTATACACAAGTGTACGTCTAGGAATCGCGATGGGTTTAGTAATAACCATTTGTAAAGTTTTTGTGAAATATCCATATATACTTTCATATATTCATTTGTACATCAGAAAACGTTTAGTAATGGACGTGGTTTTATTAAAATATCTATATATACTTTTGTATTTCATGTAAAAACCAGTACACGTCTAAGAATACCCGTGGTTTTAGTGAAATCTCCATATATGCATTTGTATATTCATTTATACATCAATATGTATAGGAATTTATGTAGTTTCAGCAAAATACCCATATATACATTTATATATTCATTTACACACCAGTAAATGTGTAAAGTTTGATGCAGTTTTAGCAAAATGTCCATATATATCAATAACCAACAATACATTTATATATTCATTTACATACTAGTAAACCTTTAAATTTCGATGTAGTTTTAGTAAAATATCCATATATACATTTAGATATTTATTCATAAGTAAACATCTAGAAACCAACATGGTTTTAGTGCAATATTCAAATATAAATTTATATATTCATTTATACACTAGGAAACCTTTGGAGACCATGTATATATATATATATATATATATATATATATATATATATATATAAATACATAAGTGGTTTAATTGATATTCCAAACTATAGTGTTTTCGTGGTTTGAATCAGATGACTATAATTGCATAAATAATCTGTAAGATTATTTTTCATCATAATCGACCATTTTTTTTTTAAACTCCCTTCAATTTCTACTCCCAATTTTTGTCTCATAAGATATTTTTCTTGGCATTTTTCAGTTACCAACAAAATTTGATACAATCATCGACAAAATTGGGTTCATATCTTGATTTTTATCATATTGTTCATTATATGAAAATTATAATCAAAACTGGTATATCTATAGATCTATAGATATATATCTGTGAATAATTACAGAACGTTTAAGAACGATTTAATATTTTTATTAATAATGAATAAAATTATATAATATTTCACAACATAATTCATAATTCTAGGCTCACTTTGTTAAACATGCTTTTGCAACATACAATTAATGACTTCATAATTTGCTAAATATTGTGTATATACATTGTTTTCATAAACATATAATAAACTATAATGCATTTATATAACTCTATTTAGCTTACAGACTACGTCTCATCACATTTTAAGTTCTGGTTTATAAATTTTAGTTCAGGTGCCAAATATCATTAAAATATTTGCTCTATATGAGATTTAAGTAGTAAAATATATTTTTGCTTATCGTTTGGCACATGAACATTATTGGGAAGACAAAATTTAGATATCTGTTGTATATGATTTTATGTATTCTCATTTACTGATTTGCTTAAATAATATAAATGAGTATTGAAACATAAAATGCAACAATTTTCAATAACGTCTATAATGTTTCTTAATTATGAATGACATAAATAAAACTAAAAAACAAGAGCAGTTCGAAAAGCTAACTGACTGTGACTTTTTAAATGTGATAAACGTATTTTAATTAATTTATAAATAAAAAACATAAAATAGTGAAAGATATGATTTAAGTCTCATAAAAACACTTCGAATTTTTAACTTATTTAGACCATATTGAATTGGCATCATTTGAATATATATTTACACTGATAATGAGACAAATTATAATATCGAAACGTTTGTAACTTTAATATTATTTAAGTTAAATTTTGACTCTTACTTTAACTGCTCTTGTTATTTAAAATCGGTCTAAGTTCAAAATAGCTACTTTAGAAGAATTCATCCCATCCAGTAACATCATCAGGTGGAATGCCATCGGCATCTGGTGGGTAATCATCAAAGTTGGTGGTATCGATGACACTGGTTACATGAGGCATTATTGGAGGTTGAAGAGTTCTACTGCGTAGACCTTCCCAGTTGAAACCATCAAACCATCTGAAAAAATAATAGAGATCTTGATTTATCAGAACATATTTCTTGGCTTATTTAATATAAATACATTCTTAATAGTAGAATATTTTAATGATATCAACTCCAGTATAGGTAGTCTTGATATCTTTTACCAAACTCAAGTTGCTGCAATAAAGGAAATATGAAGTCAAATGTTCAATTTAACTCTACGACATTGTTGCAGAAGTTTTTTAAAATACTTTGTGTGACTAACAGAATATGAACCCATAAACCTTGTGATAACAGTCATACCCTCTTAGTCTTATAAAAAATGGATAAATAAATTAGGAGATGAAAAATTTAAAGCAAATATCTATTATTACCGTAACTTCTATAAATCTATTATTACAGTAATTTCTACTTACTTATGCTTTTGAATCTCGCTAATTCCTCCTCTCTGATATCCTAATCGTTCTGCTGCATTATCTCTGCATAATTTTTTAATCAGTGCACTAGCGTTTCTGGTAATATTTCTGGGAAATTCGATAGCATCTATGCCTTTCAAAATGATATTGTAAGTCTTCATAGGATCTGATCCTGTGAAAGGCGGAGTGCCTGTTAAAAGTTCAAACATAAGAACACCTAATGACCAATAGTCAGCAGAAATATCGTGGCCTTTATTCAATATAACTTCAGGAGCTACATATTCTGGGGTACCACAAAAAGTCCAAGTTTTCCTACCAGGTTGCAGACGCTTGGCGAAACCAAAATCTACCAGTTTAACATAACCAGTTATATCCAAGAGTAAATTTTCAGGTTTTAAATCTCTGTATATGATATTTCTCGAATGTAAATAATCAAATGCTTCCACGACGCAGGCTGTATAAAACCTTGTAGTGGCGTCATCAAAGTGTCCTTTGTCACGCAAAATTGTCCATAACTCGCCTCCTAAACATGATTCCATTAGCATGTACAAATATTTGCGATCTTTGAAGGTTTTGAAAAGTTTGACTATGAATTCGCTATCGGCTTCGAACATTATTTCCTTTTCTGACATAATGTGCTGTTGTTGTCTGGTTTCTACAATCTGGCTCTTCTTCATTTGTTTCAGAGCGAAGGAACGCTGCTGGGTGTCTGATTGAATTTGCACCAGCTCGACTCGGCCGAATCCACCAACACCAAGGGTAGCCAGAACGCGTAAATCGCTCAGTTTTACATCTCGGAACTCGTCGTTTATCCTGGGGGAAACAGATCTACATAAATATAATGGACATTTAACATAATTCGTTTAATATTCCTGCAATCAGGTAACTGTTTTTGGGACTTGGGTACTAATAAGGTGACCGTGTGACACGGATTGGCAGTGACAATGAGTCCTAAAATTTTCAAGAAACATATTTCTTAAGGGAGTCTTTTTGTTTTGGTTTGGTTTATTTTTGTAAAAGGTTCTTTCTGTTAATAAACTCATATCAACTCATTAAATACCTGAAATGATATATAAGACGAGTAACTATATCAATCAAAAAGTGGTTTGAGTGATCTCTCACTTTAATAATCATGAACTAGCATTCTTTT